GTAATAAGGTAAAGAGAACATGTTTTTGCATTATTTTTACTATGTTTCGTTGCTTTAAAAAATTGTAAGAATATAAAAATATTTTTTAAAGTTGAAAATTGTCTTAATGTGGCCAGAAAAAGGTACAGTACATCTATCCTATTAATTGTTATTGCATTTAACCGTTTAGATAATTATTGATAATATGTCTATTGTTTTAGATAGATCTGCAGAAATCCGGGCAAAATCTTAATTTAAAAAAATCAATAATTTGCTATATTCTAAGTTTGAATTACTGTTTTTTGTTACGAATATATGATAGCATGTATCTAGGATAACTTAATCGGTGTGTGTTGTTATGGTCCGTTGTGTGGCTCCATCTTGCGAGAGAAAATATTTTCGTTTGGACACAACACTACAATGGGATTTCCACCATTTGACTAGGCTGTTCTTATTGTAGGCTATAGTGTTATGTAAATATTTTCCACCAGGGCGGCGCGCGAGTAACTTGCACCGGGACTCTATAAGGTACTGTACAGTACAGTACATTAATACATTTTTTATTCTAATTATTTAGCCTTTTGAAGTAGAAAACTAGAATTATCAATTTATTTATATCATAGCTAAATTAAATTATTAAATTAGATTAAATTATTTTGATTTTATATGGCAAGAATAAAGTATCAAATAAGTACTGTAAAGTAATTAAATATCTACTAATGTGGAGTAGATAATCATAAGGACTTAGCACAGTAGGGTTAATGTCCAGGGTCGTAGACTGTCATGGCGGCTCATCGACGATTCCAGCAAAGACAAGAAAGGAAACAGTGGGGACGCACGTTGTAACCTACCCTAACCTATTCTAATAAATTATCATAATTATTACCAATTATATTATTAGAATAGGTTAGGTTAGGTTAGAACGTGCGTCCCCACTGTTTCCTTTCTTGTCTTTGCTGGAATCGGCGATGAGCCGCCATGACAGTCTACGACCCTGGACATTAACCCCAAAACTTTTGGTTTAACTAATCCCGAGATATAATGCAAAAGATTACGATTTGGGCGCCATGTTTGAAATAGGAGTGCGACTACTTACAACGTGCATTGTCTCTGAAATTTCTGTTTGCCTACGTTAAGAGAATGTACAGTACATTACGTTTACAATAACTCTCAACAATCGTAAAACTAATGAAAACGTAATATCAGTTGTGTATGATCGGATATATTGGGGAAACAGTGCTTTCCCTGTAGTACAACTTCCTCTCTAACATGGCGTCGAAATGATGGTAGCGTGTCGTACCACGTGTAATTACTTAAGTTTTTGAATTGCTTGTATTTTTAATTGGTAAGTCGTAATCGCGTAAGACGTGTGTACTATATGATTTAAATAGATTTCAAATGTGTAAGTTACATTGGTCGCCGTTAGACTTATTGATATTTTATACTGTGATTGGCATTATGTGGCACAGTCTGACACGAGAGAAAGTGAAATTTTATGTCTGGTGTCCATCTTAATAAAGTATTTATTAGTATACTTGTTGCGAGATGTTTATTTCATGAAAAAAAATATACAGGAATATTCGCATTATAACTGTAATAAGTTGGCAAGAGTTGATTTGATTGTTTCGGTTGCCGTTAAACTATAGTAACTAACCAAGTGCCTGTGGAAGTCTGCTGGTCTTTTATATCTGCTTTCCTTTACTGATGGTTGTTGTGATTGGTGAAAGGCTAGTCGATGGAGAACTTAGCATCAGAAAAACTTGCTTCTCCTTTTCCTTTTGTTCGTATACAATAGGATGGATTCTTATAGAAAATTTGAGAACTGGGAAGTAACGGCTTCCACTGAATACTTAACAAAGTTATGTTGGAATGTCTATTCAAATTCCTGTCTTTTTTGTGGTCTCTGACTCCTGATGGTCTGATAAAGATTAAATGTTGCTACATAAATCGAAATTCAGTAATGATGTTCATATGTTACACATATAATTAACAATTATTCTAATAGCAACCCCAGCAATTTAATGGGCTCCGGAACTAGGAAGCATTTGGTGAACAAAGTATTCTGTTCATCTGTATATGATATCCAGATTACATATTTTACAGAACATAGTTTGTTTTATTTGTATAATGCTATTCAATTTAAAAACTCAGATAATTATAAATATCGTTATTTATTTTTTTACAAAACAAATTTAACTTTTTAATAAATGATCTTGAGCAAATACTATTTATTAAATATTGAATGTATATTATTGTGATGGTATCACAATAATAAACATATCTGCTTACTAAGCTTTCAATAATATACATATCTGCTTGTCATACTAAGCTTTTTATATCTGGTCTTGATGTTAATCTAAGTCTGTTCTCAAGATTAATGAAAGACGGTTAGATTGAATGGGAATGTATAGGTCTGCAGTTTAAAAATTGCAGTTCACTAATTGCAATTCAAGTGACAAATTGTAATGAAGGAATAGTAATGTTTCTACATTCCTAGAAAGTAAGCAATTTTATTGGTCATCATTGGTAATTTCTTAAAAATATAAACCTATATATCTTTCTTATTGAATAGAAGATGCTAATTTCACTTTGTGTAAGACTGATTCTTAAAGGATTTGAAAAGTTGAGAATCAAGAATCACTGGCTTGAGTTTGTTTATAAAATTTTTATTATTGCTAATTTTCAGTGTAAGTGACTGATTTTATGGGAGTCTAATGAAATATATGCACTCAAAAATAGGTGGTAGAACAAAAAGTATGATAACCACTGCTTTAAGCCTTTTGTTACATGCAGTTTTAAATATAGTAAATCAGCTGATACTTGGTAAACAGGATTAACAAGAATATTTAGTGTTTGACTAAAAATTTCTATCCAGTTTAAATATTATTTTTCTAAACTTTGACTTTCCCATTGTATAGCTGTCTTGAATAATAAAAATAATCTTTATGTATAAAAAATTGAAAATAGTTTATATTTTTCAGTGTGTTAAGAATTTTTAACGAAGATGGCTGCAGTAGGGGACGTGAAGATACAGACTCTAGTGTTTTTTGATACCAAAGCTACTAGACTTTTGCTTCCGAAAAAAAAAAAGAGATTTCCGAATCATAGAATTATCACTTCTAGCTGTTGACAGAAAAGAATTTAACAGTGATAATGAAAACGTTCGTGTCATTAATAAATTAAACCTCTGCTTTAGACCACGTTGCCATATTTCACCCGAAGCTGCAAAAGCGGCAGGTAAACGTATCAGCAAGTACATTAGTAAGTCATAATAATCACCACATTAATTACACTAAAAATCTCCAGTTGTAATTGACTTTATTGATTACAACTAGATTTTTAGCATAATTGTTAATATTTGATAATTTTCCAAATTATCCTGCTTTTTCTATGTTTTTGTAGAATATCATTTCATATCTTTCTGCTAGTGTCATAGATGTCTTTTAAACTCCGAACGCTTTGGAGTTTAAAAGAAATTTTCCAAATTTTTATATAGTTATATTGACAAATTTTGTAAATATAACACTTACTAAACACTGTACAAATAACTATTATCCAGCAAGAAGAAATTCTAAGAATGCAAGTAGTTAGCCTGACAATGCCCATTAAACATGGCTGAAAAACATTTGCTTTCTTGTAATTTCTTCTTTTTAAATATTGGTTATTTGTGCACAGTTTATTAACGTATTCCTAGTTTTCAGTAGTTGAATTTATAACACTTACATTTTATATAATTTCAGATTTAACGGATTCATTACTTCAGTTTCAACAAACATTTGAAAACAGTGCTGAATTAATAAAATTATTCCTTAGAAGATTGAATAAACCTATTTGTATTTTAGCTTATAGCGATGATAAATTTGATTTTCCTCTTTTAAGAACAGAATTTAACAATTCTCAAGTGGATATTTCTGGATTGATGCTTTGTGCATACATCAAACCTGTCTTCAAACGTTTTCTTCGTGAAATACCCATGAAAACTAAATCTCCTTCAGTAAGGAATGAAGAATTCGATCAAACAGGATCTCCTTCGGCAAAGAATGAAGAATCATATCAAATTGAATATCTTACTGATGATCTTACAAATGTACATTTGGATAATAAATGTAACAATGACAAAGATGACAATATTGTTAAAGATAATATAGACTTTCTCAAAAGTAGTTCGTCTAATGAAATATGTAAAAACTCTGCAGACATGCGACAAATCTCAGAGGATCAGAAATTATGTGAAACAAAAAGTCCAGTCAAAGAACCTCTATTTACTAATTCTCCAGATGTTAAACAGAATACTTGTGTTGATAAAAAAACTCCATTGAAAATAAAAGTAAAAATATCTGACGAATTCAGAAGCCTGTATAACTATTTTTTTAATTGTCCTCTACCCGATTCACGTACAGCCGAAGGTGACGCTTTGGCTCTGTTAAAAATGGCAAAGAAAGTAAATGATCAATTTCTGACATGGCTGGAAGAAAATATAATCCCATTTGACAGTATTCCCATTATAAATGATTAAAGATAATTTTTAGTCACTATACATAGAAATATATGTAATACACATCGAATAATAATACAAGAATGTGCAATGAATTGCTTTTAATTATATAAAAAAAAAATTCATAATTGAATTAGTTTTTGTAATTGCATGCTTCACCTTTTTTTTAAATCATAACTTTATATTTTTATATTATAAGAAAATGCTTTATGGTTTTTTATTTATGGTAATATCAATTTTACAAATAAATATGTATAAGAAACTATATAATAATATAAAAGATCTGTCCTAATAAGTCGAATTATTTTTATTTATTTATTTAGAGAAATTACTTTTAATATTTTATTTTAAATGAATGATGAATTTGCTTCAAAATAACTAGAATAATTCTTTAAAAAATGTTTCTGTCTGTAACTGTGTTTAATGTCGACTTATAATTCTTCATGAATNGTGACCAATGTGAAGCATTTTCATACATTTTTAAATTGTGGTATTATTTTTTATTGTATTTATTTTAGAATTCATGTAAATGCAGAAATATTTAACATCAGACAAAGCTGTGCGAGTGAAATAATTAACTATATTTATTTATACGGCAAAAACTATAAAGAGTAGGAGATAATTATATGTATCAAATGATTAAATTAACATGTCTAAATAAATGAGGCGCTAATACAACTAATCTATATGTGAGGACCCGAAAATGGCCCGGAGCTACGCAAAATTATAAAGGAATTTTATGTTTTATTTATGTAAGACAGTGATAAAAAGATATGGAAAAATTATGACCATATAAGAAAATGTTCGATCTAACAAAATAAAGTATTATTTAGTAATACCGATGAAAAGAAAGATAGACTAAATGTAATACTTAGAAAAATGAACTTCTCGAAATAAAACAATAGAATGATGTAAGACCTAAAGATCGACCATCTTTGATGGGGATCGAATTGACAGGAGACATTGATTTATCTGAATTCCGATCTCATTACATTTAGTAATGAGTGAAGCGGAGGTGAGTCGGGTGTACACCTCCACACTCAATATAGACAATATTTACAGTTTATTTACAATATATAGATATGGAGTATACAAGTTGGAAAACACAGTAAATGCAGGATACACAAAGCGTGATGCCTCACGTACTAAATTGGCTTCCGGGAACTATTAAGCTCTGGAGAGGCCTCAGTCAGCCTGTGGAGTGGCTCAACTGCACGGTTCGTCCAGTCTCAGCACTTACCCGTCCCTGAGATAGTTACCAGTAGAGTATGCTGTCTCTAAGCTCAGCGGGCTTCCCAATTGCCTGAGGCTTCCGTGTTACCAGTCTCTTGCCCTTCTCTCCCATTCGCTCCGCAATTTAAGGATTTTTTTTTTTTTTTGGACGGAAACTTCCTACCAATCACAAACCTCCTAGATTTTCAATGTCCCTCCGTCCGTCCATTCTTCCTTAACTCTAGAACGGAGTAAGATATATGATAAACGAGATCAGATATGGAAAGCTTAGGACCGGATACCCCAATAACTGTATCCGAACTTCCAATCTGGACCGGAAGTCATGTGATTTGTTAAATTAAGATATGATTTTTTTTTTAAAAATGCAGTCGGGAATTGTGACGACGTCGCAATAAATAATTGCTCGTTATTCTTCGTTAATTTTCCTTTAGCAAATTTTAATTAAAAATTAAGGCCAAATTTCCTTTATAAGCTTTAAAAATACTTTTTTAAAATGCGAAGAGAGAAAAGTTCTCAGTGATTTCTGTCGTCTTTATATTACGTTTTAAAATTAAGAGAAAAATAATTTCTATGCGCCTGGAAATCCGTTTTCTCTGTAAGACAAGAAAATAGCGAGGAGAAGATTAAAATTACGTGACTTATCATCAAAATATTAAAGGTGAGAGGAAACACTAAATTTTCTGTTTTGTAAACGCTAAGAGAACCTTTCTTGTGTGCATAAACTGTTTGGTCAAATTCGCAATGATCTGGTGATAAGAAACGGGATCCGTATTAAGGCTAGATAGTTTATGAAAATTTCTAAACATCAGGTAAATACTCGAACTCGAATTCTTCAGAACAGAAGGCAGCCGAGTGGGTAAAACCACTGAATAATTGGGAAATTTTGTCGTGAGTTCGCTCCTCGGCAACGAGCTAGCTAGTAGCTGAGTGAATTTTCGGGTTTTCTTCACGTCTATAGTATCTAAATACGAGCCATTTTTTTTAATAGAAAGCCCTCCCTGGAAGCATCCCTTCTCGGTAAATCGTCTACTTGTCGCTTTGCTACAAACAAACAGAGCAGCAGGTACGAGTCTTAGCCGCTGTGACCACATTGTAAAGCTGTATTAATATTAAAGAATATACATATGAACTAACAATGAATTATTTTTCATTTTTTAATTTTTTTCACCTTATGGACACTAAGAGGAACTTTTATTCCTGTTCATCGTGGGTTAAGTCAAGACCACATTAGGGGTGACCGGGTGATAAGCGACGACGATTGATATAGTATTTGGAACGAACCTACCAATTTTTGGGGTTTTTCAAACGCTCAGATTTAATCTCGTGTCTCCCAGAGAGATAGCCTGAGCCTGACGATTCGGCCATCCTAACAACAGATTTTTGGAAACTAGCCTACCACTTTTAAATGTTAATCATACCTCAAATATCTACTTAACAAAGAGAGGCGGCCTGTTGATAAAAAAAAGACACTATCCATTTATAAAAAGTGTTCTAAATTTATATCGATGGTAAAGTGCATCAAATCTCAAATTAAAAGGAAGCATCTTTTTATTTCAATTTGATTCTTCCCATCTTGTGAATACTTTTTATTTTTGTTTGTTTTTTACTGTTTACTTCCTATTTATGAGCATTAAGATCTTTCTTTCACATACCACAAGTCTAAAATATCAAGAATTCCCACTAGCGATTACTTAAATAAAACCACTGAACACTAGTTGGTCCCTGTTCATACCTGACCAACGGGCTTTTTATTAGAATATTTCCACTCTCTGGACACTAAGCGGTCCTATTTTCGGGATCATCATATCCAGGAGAGTCTTTACCGCGCGGTTATTTAGCCGTAGCCTCAGTGTTTCTAGACAGGCTTTAATCGTGCTTATCATGAGCTTATACAGCGCACAATGATAATGACAGAGTCTAAAACGCTAATAAGAGTTCGGCAGACTATAATTTCCACATTAAAGGAGACGGAAGAAGAAAAAAAGTGGTTGGATGAAGAAAGAGAACTTGATATTCGATTCAATCACCTGTAAAAATATACATCATTTTCCCAAAATATTTACTGGCCGAATCCACAATCACTGCCCATTATGGATTCGGCCAGGCCCACAATGGGGCAACCGAGTGGTGAGAGACGGGAGCCGACATAATCCGGACTAAACATTCCCCAAAAATACCTGGGTATTTTTCTATCCGTCCGGATTCGATTTCGGTCCCCCAGAGCGGTAGGCTGTTACCTTGACCGTGCGGCCACCCGGCCATCTGTAAGATGTATTAATGTTGATTCTAATTGAAAAAAAATACGGCATTTAAATTTTTAAAAATTATCGATTATTTATATCTGATTTATCTACCGAAATAATTAAAAAAATTAAAAAATTAGCAAATCCTTATTATAAACCATCAACATCTAAAAATTCGCTTCCATAAAAAAAAAACTGTATTTAATTTTACGGCTCGTATTCTAATTTTAATCTGTAATTAATAATCATAAACACGAGAAATTTATATTCGTTCATGTATATGTTTTCATAAAAAAAAAACTGTATTTAATTTTACGGCTCGTATTCTAATTTTAATCTGTAATTAATAATCATAAACACGAGAAATTTATATTCGTTCATGTATATGTTTTCATAATATTTAAATATAGAAAAGCTTAATCATGTTTCAGTTTGGCCGTAAAATCTATTTTAAAACTTTGTTAAAGTATTTAAGGTGGCGCAACGAGTTCAGATGATGCTAGTTGTCTGTTGGTGTTGCTGCTACGGTTGGTATGAAATCATTTTCGAGTGCTACATTAAAAATAAACAAATAAATAAATAACGGTAAAGGGAATCGTATTCGATTAACTCAAAGGAAGAAAACAAACATAACTGTATTCAAGATGCTACATTAAATTCAATCCTCGATTGTTAAATACAGAAACATCCGGTATGTTATATATACATATTTTTTTTCCCTCTTAACTTCCCTAGTATGATAATTAATTTCCCTTTTTTCCCCCGTAACTTCCCTAGTATGATAATTAATTTCCCTTTTTTCCCTTCAGTGATAGTTAATTTCCCCTTTTTTTTCTTCTCGAATTTCGCTAAAGTGATAATTAATTTCCCTTTTTTTCCCCCTTATTGATAATGTCAATAATGTGTAATTAAAATTTAATAAATTAAAAATAACAATCGATGTAGAATTAATTTAAGTTTTATCTTACATAAATACCACTTATGTAACTTGATCTTATCGATAAGAGTTTAACAGATTTTTATAAATATCCACTTAACTTGGCTGAAATCTTCCATTTTAATTTTCTGATTAACAGGTTAAGTTTGTCGTTTCCTTTTATCTATTTCTTTTCGTAATTAAAATTCTAATACAATTAATTAATGATGTATGAATTGTAAGATTTCTGTTATTTAATATATATGTAATTTTATATTTTATTTATGGATAATGAGGAATTGATAACAGGAATTAAATGTGTATATCAATAAAACGTCCATTTTATATATCTTCACGCAATGTTGTGTGAATGACAATCTGAAATTATCTTTACATAACTTAATACCCTCTGGAACCTCTAGGAAGAAGATCAGGACACACTACTTAATTTTGAATTATTATTTACTTATTGTTAGTATTTATTTAATTAGTTTATAGATTTATGTATAAATTATAATAAGATACAGTAGACACCCCTATAACGCTGTAGATAATTCCGTGTTATATGAATTCCGTGTTGTACGAGTCACTTAGGTTTTACAAATATGTGAGCCGTTCACAGCCTGGCACATGTATTTGTAAAATCTAAGTGACTCGTACAACATGGAATTCATATAACACGGAATTATCTACAGTGTTAAGGGGGGTCTACTGTAATTTTACCATTGCAATTGTATCATGTTCTTCTTTGTCGTAGCTTTTTCCGATCTTTAATGTCTTTTCTTCTCTCTATTTGGAAAGTCCTTTCTCATCATCGCGGCTTCTTCCTCCCTATCGCTTTCAACTTTCAAAGCCTCTTTCCAACGTAGTCCTCACCTCTTTTCTCCATATGTCTAAACTATCTACTGTCGTAATTGTATATTTTTTCTAATTTTGGTATCCACCTGAGACCTGGGGTCTTTAGACGTATGTTTTGTGTGTCTAGTGGGAAATCCAGCACTGGATAATCCATATATAACATTGAATGTATACTCAGATTCTTCGTGACAAACAACATGAGATTTTTTTTTCTTCTTTTAATTGAATATAGTAAATATTCTTACAGACAACAATAATTATTCAATAACAAGAAACAGACTCATATATTGAAGTTAATATGTTTTATTTTCAGAATTTTCAAAACATTTCAGTTCATCATCAGCTGATTTTATAACAGCAGCTTCTAACTGGAATATATTAGATGTAATGAAATTGGAAACTGTTATTCTAAATCAGTGTTTCCCAACGTGGGGCCCACGCCCCACAGGGGGGCAATTGGATTGTTAATGTGGGCAATTTGAAAATGGACTCGTTCAGAGTTTAAGTTAACCATATAGCCGCTGTATATGTAAGGGGCATACGAATTTTAGAAAGGCTTAGGTGGGGCATAGCACAAGAAAGGTTGTGAAACACTGTTCTAAATGGAGTTGACAAACTAGAATGGTTTGAAAAATTTCAGAAAGTTAAGGAATGTGGACTCTATATTTGAGCTTGATTCTTATTGAATAATTAAGAATTTATTTTTTCCTATTTTAACTAGTTATACTAATGAATTATATCTCACTCCATTAATAATTGTAATTTTTTAATAAAATTTATTAATAATGCATATTTTAATGCGTAATCAGTTTTTTAATTTCTAAATTTTAAGAAAAGCAGCAAAATATATATTCATATTTAAACTTTTAAAACAAAATTTTATGATCGAAATGTAAGATGACTTTTATGTGTTAGAAAGAAAAAATTCCTGTTTCATAACCATTTCAATTAAAACAAATTATATTATGTAAATTATATTTATTCTGAAATACTAATTGTGTTTTATATTTCATAACTTATAACTTAATTGAAAGATTATTATAGAAATCAAAAGTTTTGAGATATTTGTAGAAATCAAAGAAGTTTATTGGTTGATTTTTTTCCTCCCCCTTTAGTTCATTTAAATTAAATATTGGTTACAAATATTAATGTAGGCTATATATATATGTATACATTTATTATTAAAAATATGCTGAAATAAGACAGATTTTAATTGTAATATGTATATTTTATTTACGTATTATTTTCTTAAGTTAAAAAAATTCAGGTATGTATAGTTTTTTTTTTCAGTTAATTTATATAAAATAATGATGATATAGAAATCATTTAACACAATAATTCTAATACATTTAGTTTAAAAGAAAAACAAATATATTTTAGATAAAAATTTGATTTAACCCGTAATGTTTTTATATATTTTATACTTCCATTTATTTTTTGTAAACATTGTAAAATATTTAATGAAATGATTTAAAACTATAAATGATAATAATAGATTTTACAGGGTAAGACAAAAAAGGAGTTAGAAATGAAATAGGAATAAAATAAGATAAAACAAACTATGCAAAACGACTTCCAACAACTTAACACTTCGTTGAGTAATAATAATCCACAAAAACCTTTCTGTACAAGTGTTATGTTCTTAACTACTCCAAAAACGCTTTCGACCTCCACCGAGCTCTCCACCACCTGAAGCAGACCTCGGTGGAGGTCGAAAGCGTTTGTGGAGTAGTTAAGAACATAACATTTGTACAGAAAGGTTTTTGTGTATTATTATTACAAACTATTGAATCTGGAAAGCTGATTTATTTACTAAAAGAAACATCGAAATTTAATATAAAATATTTTCATGTTTTTCACCAGCTGCAATGACTGTACAGTACTGTACATCCTGGAATTAAATTTGTCGTGTTTTATAACACTTTTTTTTGCTTTTGTAATTATATCTAATTAATCATTTTTCAATATTTAAATAATAAACTTGTAAACAATAAAAATTAATGCTATATAATTGCTGTAATGCATCAGGCTATTTTTTTGGCTACTTTTAATAATTAAATAAATAATAGTAGATGAAAAATTGCTTGATGATATCTTACAGCAATCTTTTGGCATTAATTAATGATGTTGGGTTTTAAGATGTTTATATATATCTCGGCCATACTTATGTCCCCTATTATATTTTAAAGCAGTTGTGTTGAAATTTATATACTTAGAAAACATATTCTGGTGGAAGATTTTGAGTCTCACTTTATTTCGTAATGGCTGCTTGCAGTGTCAAAGCATGTACTTGCAGTATTTTACTTCCTTAAAAACTTTTAATATTTCTGGTGTCATAAGAAACACATTTGCTACAATTCTGACCATAAGCTGCCGAATAAAGAAAAGCTTCATCACATAAACTTAATTCTTCACCAAACTCCAGAGGAAAATTATTCCAACATTGCCTCACAAAATCCAGGGGATAATACTAAATAATCATGGATGCCATGAGATTTCACTATTGCATCAATCCAATGTCTATGAGATTATTCGGAGTTGCATGAACCTCATGTCTAATCAGATGAAGATTCATCCAACTGAAGGAAGACTTTATTACTGCTTGCCATCATTTCTTTCATGTGCATGCATATTAAAAATATTCTAAAGAACACTGCAAGGTGCAATATTTGAAATCCTTCACTGGGATATGTTTTTTGTAATATCACATAATTTAATGTGTAAGAATTTAAAAAGGATTGCCTTAAAATAAAATGGGGTGAGCCCTTCTGTTTATAAAATATTTCATTATAGTTAATTTTTTTTTTTTTCAAAACTCTACATTTTCAAAATTTTATGACTTTCTTTTCTTTTTTTTAATTTTGAAATACAGTATTTCTGTAAAAATATGCAATATTATTACAAATTATCTGTGGATAACATTTCAGATTTATATTATGTAAAAATTGAGGTCAGAGTATATCAGTTAACTGTCATATATGATGATTGTAAATATTTAAAAAAGAATAAATTTAAATGCAATTTCATTTTATAATTTGCAAATATAATACTTAATAAAAGTGATTTATTATAATTACAGGCTTAGTTTTGTAAATGAAAAGTGCAACTTATCAAAAGTTTCACAATGTAATTTCATTTTATAATTATCTCTTATCTTATAGTCTCCTTTTATCTTACAATATGTTATAGTCTGTCTGTTTCAATTCTTTATCTAAATTAATTTTCTTTATTATAAATATGATTAAGTTATATCAGTCTAACACTACTGTAATTTGCCCTCATAATATCCATAAGGCATAGAATTATTAAAACAACAAAAATACAATTTTATTTTTAATGGAATGTAATTGAAAAAAAAATCTGAAGATTAACTTTGACATTTAGCATTTCTACTTTGTTGGAAAGTAGAAATGCTAAATGAAAATCATCCATTTATACTGCACTTAAAATCACTGTTAGTCGACTGAATCTTTTTCTAACTAATTGCAGCAAGAAATTTAAAATTTTAAGAAGAATTAATTTTCAAATTCAAATTTGATATTGTTTACAGTTGAAATTTGCAACCAATCAAAAGCATAATTTCATTTTCTGAATGTTAAATGGGTATGAATAAAAAAAAAATCAGTTAAAATGGTTAAGTGTGATTGCATTAATCAACAATTAAAAATTTAAAAACAAATGATTTGTCGACAACTTTAAAGTTCATTAGCATTGTGACATTAGATTAATTAACTTTGTATTCACACAATTCTTTTAAAATTACTTCATTTAAAAACTGTCCAGTTTTTAATTATGAAATATAGTCAGCAAATTTTTTGCTGGCATCAACTCCTTAAACTGCTGATTCCAACATTGACATAGTGTCCTCAGCCCCGATAAAATGGCAAGAATAGTAAAAATTATTATTATTTAAATTATTAAATGTTTATTGACTATATTGATAATTTTATTCAATTATTGTTTTTCAAGCTAACAAAAATAGCAATTTGTATAATAAGATAATTTAATAACAGTGCTAACTGTAAATAAAAATGTTGCTTGTAAGTTTATTTTCAGATATAATTTTTTGAATTTTTAAAAGTCAAATTCAAATTCAAGCACACCTCTTTAAGGCAATTAATAAATCCATAAAATATTTACAATAGAACATATGATTATTAACTCTTAATCTTAAAAATATGTTTGCAGTTTAAAAGGAAAAGATAATATGTTATTGAGTGACATCATCATTTTGGTAAGAGTTATACAAGAACTACAAGAACTTAGTCCCATATGTTTTCACATGTGGGATGAATATATTTA